GTTTAATAATTTTTCAAATAATTCAAATTCAATGATTTTGACATTATATACGATCGGATGCGATAAGTTTTGARAAGTTACAATAAATATTTGAACATGACTATAAATAGTATCGCAATAATATACCGGGTCTTTGCTTGAGAGGTTATCGTCATCAACTTAGTATACTTACAAATACGTATCGTTTACGCATCATAGGAAAGATAACGAGATCAACCCGGTTCTGACCGTTCCTCCAAACCAACCAAACCTGAATCCTCGAACGCGTGCGCGTATATTAAAATGATATCGATGTAGGAATTCTCTCTGCTAAAGACGAACGACCGGTCATGAACTTTGCAACTTGAAAATTATTTTATACGAACCATACGAATACTTAATAATATATCGAACTATTATAATAAATGAAAATTTCTTTTTTCTTTTATTATGATTATTATTATTATTATTATTATTATTATTATTATTATTTGTTTATTTATTCGTTTCCTTTTTCTTCTTCTTCTTATTCTTCTTCTTCTTCTCCTTTTTTTGTTTCTTTTTCATTATTTAAAAACGTTTCCGATTACTTCCACATAGTGTCGCCACAATTCTTCGCGATAGATATTCCTAACGGTAATAATAAATCTTTGATTAACTTACGAAAGAAGAAAAAGAACTATACATAAATAATTTCGATGAATTTTAATAAAAAAAAAAATATAAATTATTTTAAATATACATTTTCACACAGACACACACACACACAAAATAAAATTCTATATAAATCAAACGGTTGGATTACAAAAATTCATCTAATATATTAGTATATTTCTGTATATAATTATGAAATCACATAGCAAAAAAAAAAAATAGAACAAGAAAGAGAGATGGAGATAAATAAATAGATAAATAGAAAGAAAGAAGGAAAGAAAGAGGAAATAAAGAGAAAGGGAAAAAGAAAGACAAGAAGAGAAAACTGCTTACACGTTCCTCCCGATAATATCCAATAACGTTGAAGATGCATTTGCGAAAAAATACGTACACGCGAAACTGGTTTTGTTTATTTTCACGTTTAACCAAGGGTTACCGTTTCCCGGCCACGTTTTTCCCGCGCTCCGTATCTAAATAACAATAATAAGGATAGGAGGAACGAAATAACCAACACACTAATCGATATTAACAGTTCGACGGATCGTCGAGAACTGGCCAACGGCCGCGCAAAACCCCACCACCACTACCACCACCAATCACCACCTCCACCACCATTAGGAAAATACACGCGCCAATGGCAAATGTAAACACGATGACAATTGGATGGATCCCCCTCCCCCGTCTAGTCGAATAATTTAATCGATTATTATCTTCTATTACCTTGACTGACTGACTGATGACGAGCTTTTAAGCTTCGAAAAAGCTTTTTATTATTTTCTTTTTCCATCTCACTCCTGTATGTTTCTTTTTTGATCTTTACATATGCGAGAATAATGCGTGCCAAATCTTACGATTTACATAATCGTATTTCCCTCCACAAACATCGATCACTTGATCTTCCCCCTCCTCCCACTCCTTGCAATCTTTTTCTACCAATACCCTTCCTCCTATCCCCACCTTTAACCATTTCTTTCAACTTCGCCCATTTCAAATTACTCGCGCCTTTTTCGTTTACATATTATAAATATATAAGTGGAAATGTGTCTGGGCGAAGTTTTGCATAACTAATTATGAAATAGAAATGTTTTGAGAAATGTTGTCATGTTATATTATTGATAGATATAATTTGTTTAAATACATTTGCTCTTAACATTAATTTTAACGCACGAATAATCGTACAAAATCTTTTAATTTTATATGTCTATGAATAGATTGTGCAGGATTTCTCGCTAAAGTATCTGATATTTTATTTTAACTTGTACGGATAAAGTGTTCATTTATTATTTACACACGTCACATTGTCATGCTATTTTACACGCGTAAAGGTAACATTTGGTCAGCTGTATAAACAATTCTCATAGATATATAAAAAATATTTAAACGAATTTATTTATATATATATTTATATATAAATAAAAATCTTACATATATATCTAAATATGTATTTGTCCGAAAAAAAAATAAATATTTATATTTCCAACATAGAGATTCTTTTATATAAATTAACTTACGATATACCTTTCATAAAAAAAGAACTATAGATAGGAAAACAATTAACAATAATTAATCTTGATACAAATTTTCAAATTGATATTTTTACACAGAGAGAAATGAAATACTATTTAATATGTGTTATTTGTCATGATTAATTTCATTTTATGTTTGAAATAAAAAAGTACTTTTCGTTGTCAAGTTAAATCAATATGAATATGTATAAGAAATTATTTAAAAAAAAAAAACAAAAGAAAACCGCATGAAACTCTCACGCGACTGAAATGAAACTTCTTAAGTTTCCCCTACCATCTCCCGGAAGTTTTATCCGATCGATATTTACCTGTTTCTCCCCCCACTACTCGAATGACACGCTCCTCCTAAAAGCTTTCATTTTTCATGTCGCTTACAAATTTTCAATACTCTCTCAATAAATCATTCATATAATCTTTGATAAGATACCTTCTAAACTTTTTACTTTTAAAGATTGAATATTATTCTAATATACAAATTCCTGAAATTTTGTTTATACCACCACCTATAATATAATAGATAATAAATTAAATTAAATTATAGATTATTTCTTAAGTATGAATCTATACCGAGTTGTTCTATTATGTATTTAATACATAATAAATGAAATTTCTATAAGTACAGATTCGCGTATGTTTCTTAATTTTTGTTAATTATAAATAAATAATATAAATAAAGTAAGAAAGTTATATTCTTTTGCAGATCATAAGTTTGTCACCGCTAAAATAAAACATTACTGATTGCGCATAAACTAATTCTCAATATTAATAATTTCCAGTATTCATTAACGGTTCTACCCCCATGGTCCAAATCAAAGAAACATCTGTATTTACAGTTACTTCAGGACATTTATCATATGTATTTGAAGTACTAACTAAGCCACCAAACTGCATAAATCCATTATCTAGAAACAGTTGTAATTTTATATTTCATAGTGAATATTATTTATGATATATTGTATATATATACCTAAATTCCATTTTAAACCAGTTGTCGATATGTGCTTAGCAGGTGCACCGATTGGCAATAGCCCACACCAATTATTTCCTTGAAGTAATACATTAGGTATCCTTATCTTGTGAAAACCTGACTTTAACAGCCACGTTAACGAATCACTTGCAACTTGTATTATCTATAAAAAGAAAAATAATATCTATTATTTATTCGAGACAATAAATACTTTTCGCAATAAATATACATCGTCAACAAATTACCTGTACATTGGGTATAATCTTTCCAGATTTATAAAGTGTATTAATATTTCCAAGTAGATGATCAAATCTACCCAAATTTTCAACTATTACAAATACAGCATTTAACTAAAAAAGATAAATATGTTTTATAATTTTACATGTGCGTTGAAAATACAACGACAGCGATTGAAATAAATTCAATTACATTAATATTTTCTTCCTTAATGTGAATCTTCAATTCCATTAAAGCTTTCGTATAATCTGTAAACATTTGATCAGGCGTCATAATAACTTTGGAGCCAATATCTTGTAATTTATTAATAGTACACTTCGATGAACTATCCATATCTCCAGTAATAAGATTTGGAACATATTTATTATAATTTCCACTGAAAATATCTATTCCTTCTTTGTCTAAATAATTTAACCATCTGTGTGTACCTCCATCAACAGTAATAGTTACTTGTGCTACAAAATATAATTTAAAAATTAAACAAATTATCATTTTGCAATAACACATTATTTTATTAGATACAAATGTTACCAACCATTCTCCCAAAGTTGAAACATTAAATTGTTCTTCAAACATATAGGACTATTTAAAATAATGACGGCGTATTTGTAATCACTGGTCACGCGAAAAATATTAAGAGGATCCCAAACATTCTTTTCGATTTCCACTTTATGTTGCATCTCCAATTTGTATTCTTGATAAACTAGATACGAAGAGAAACAAAAATGAGGTTAAGTCACGATAAAGTAAAAGCACATGTATGTATCTCGAAATTTTACCATAGAATAAGAAAATATCTATTTCTTTCGTGATTAAGACTTGATCGAACGATCGATTACATAGGCTATCGAAAAATGTTTTAATTTGAATTATCTTACATAACAGTTATTTAACTAATATGAAAAACAAGTTGACGTCATATATTAAATAGCTATTATATTAATAACCGCACATTTTAAAATATATTATAAAAAATTACATAATTACATTGAATAATACATTTTGGAAAAGATTTACAAAACTTTTGATTTAATTTGAAATCAAATAATTTTACTATATAATGTATACACATATTATGTATTATTATATATATATATATAATTAAAAAAATATTCATATATATACGAAGTGAGTAATAACTAACGTTAACACTTCAAATACCTTTATGTTTTTAAAAATACGTCAAATGTTTTAAGAAAAAATTTGAATGGGTTATGGTTGTGTGTTTTTGTTTCTCAATAGCACATATCAATCGTTCGTTCATAATATATTACGTATACATGGATATATATTTACGTATCATGACATAAATTTAAAATAACATACAATAAAGAATATAATTAAAATATTTAAATAACTTCAAATGTTACTTTTTGGACATATATTTATGGAATACCTTTATAGGAGTATGTTTATATAATGCAATTTTTAAAAAATTGTCTTTCCATGTGTCAGGATTATCAAAATTTTGGTTGCTTTTATCATCTATTTTATGTCATGTTTATATCACTAACAATAAGTTGAATTATGCATTAATTTATTTTACTATGCGAGAGACTGTATGCAACGACATGCTGTTTATTTAAGATTTCGTAAGAACTGACTTCTTGACATTTATTTTGGCAGAAGAAACCTTTAACAAAAATAATAAAATACAAATAATAAACGTGCGTGATTTTATCGTTTATGTTTATAATTTTTCTTATTTTTTTTACCGTATTTTATTTTATTAGATGTATGATACACATAAAGAAAGAACACATTATAGTCAAATTATCAGAATTAGCTGTTAATCCTAGATCACTGAAAAGTATGTTACCTCAATGTCTTCTACAATTTGGATTTGGAAACAAATATCTGGCCTTGCAACACGATATAATGATGTGGTATATGCACGTCCTATGATTTCACACTCTTATAAATTTCTTGTTTATTTTGGTGGTGATATTCAAGTATGTACAAACTTATCTTATTTCTATTCTTAAACTTATTATATATAAATTTTCATAGCATATCGTTTCTTATTAGGATTTTCAAGAAAATATGGTAAAACATGTAGAAAAGAAAAAATATACAGAGTGGAGTTTGAACAATACTGCGGATATTCTATCACACAACTTTCCTAAATATCACGTATTTGTTATCTGTCCATCTAGGTACAAATTTCTTTTCTATTATATAATAAATCAATCTGTATATTATTATGTAAAGAAATTATTTTATGTTACATCAGGATATCAAACTTATTTAGTTGCTTTGATAATTTTGTAAAATCCAATAATGATTATGGAATCCCAACATTTTCTCCTACATTCAATGCCTTAAATAATCTTCAAGAACTGGTTAGATCATTTTGTACAAAACTTAATACATTGGATATGAATCAGGTAAACTTTTCTTAATTAATTTTTTTGTTTAATATGTCTATTAATTGACTTTGCTATTTTACAAATGTTTATATAATTCTTTTTCTTCAGGATACAGCAACATATGCACCTGATAAAGTAAATTTAACGTTAATAGCCTTTAGTAAAGGATGCGTAGTATTAAATCAATTTCTGTATGAATTTCAATATTATCAATCACAATCGATACCTGATACAAGTATGATCAATTTTATAAATAATATAAAAAGTATGTGGTGGTTAGATGGTGGTCATGGTGGTTACAAAGACACCTGGATTACAGATAGAGGTGTGCTTGAGTCATTAGCAAAGTTAAGTAAGTCAAAGATTATATTAATGAATTAAGTAACTTGATATCTTCATTAATGAATTGGAATGTTAATGATTATCATTTTTAATCCAATTTAGAGGTAGATATTCATGTACACGTGACACCATATCAAATTGAGGATGATTCTCGACCTTGGATCGCTACGGAAGAATCTAGCTTTTTTAATACATTACAAAGTTTAAATGTGCCTACACAACGTACTGTACATTTTCAAAATAAACCACGGAGTATAATAATGCATTTCAATATACTTAAAATTATAAAAGAAGAAACATAATTTTCATATATTAAAAATAAATATTAAATAAATATTAAAACAATATTTATATAGAAATGGTCAGGTACTACTACTATCTTACAAGAGTTAATCTATTTCAGAAAACTTAATTTTTATTTTTTTGGATTATCAATAAAACCACACATAAGTATCTCTATACCTCTATCTAAAATGTTATGCATATAGGATAAAAAACAACTTGGAATTATATTACAATTATATACATATATGCATAAATAAATGTAAAATAGGAATATACTTTTATAAGTAAACCTATTTTTCCATATCTTCTTATGTACAATGCAATAGTCTCTTCAATTTCATCAAATTTATTTTACTTTCAGAAATAAATGATTACGTTCAGAAGACTATCTATTAACAGTTATTTGTACATTTTGTTTGGCGATAAGTAATACTTTTGGATTCTAAAACAAAAAACAATAAAGGAACAATATAAATTAATAAATATGAATTTGATTAATAAAAATGACATTTATAACGTAAAAGTTATCTCACCATTAGGCACATATAATAAGAAAATTTCTGCCCATTCATCTGAGCCATCGCAACAATCACAATAGCCGTCATTGACTTTATAAGATGGAATTTTTCCTAAAAATGTATTAATGATTTTGTTTTGTTCTATACAATATTAATGTTAATAATCATTATAATATATCGAAATACCTTTAAATTTTAACGAAGAATTCTCACAATAAAATGTACCATTGTTGCATGCATTTGTACCAGGTTCATCGCTGCCATCTAAGGGACAATCACAATAATCGTCGTTTATTTGAATAAAATCTATTTCTTGTTTCGAAGAAAAACAGACAAACTTGTCTCTGGCGTTTGGAAGATATTTGACAATGTCTTCATTACGCGTGCCACGTAACGAAACTGTACGACCATTTTTATCTCGTATTAATTTGGAATATTTTGATTCGTTCCATTTTGAACGTACATTATTTCCTCCGGCTAAAATGTAATTCGACGTTCGTACAGAACCGGTTATTAATTTGCCCACGTTGTTCAATTGTTTAAGATAAAATATTTGTTGCACGAAGAATATAATACCAAAAGTAAATACACCTAATAACATGTATTTAGATTTTGATCGGCCGAAACGACGTTTCCAAAATGTTTCACTTTTCATATCTGTTTTTTATTATCATCAAGTTATTAATATTTATTTAGAAAAACATACAAATGTGCAGCAATCATAGTGTATCTTATGTACGTACACTATTTATAACAACACCACGTGCATCACAAAGAAAAAATAATATTTATAATGTTTCTTATACAAATGTTATACTATGTAAATCACCCGAAAAAAACTTTTCTAATATTGTTTAACACATTAACTTCGTACTATTAACGTGTGTTTATCAGCCATTTGTCAGAAACAGATAGCAGCGCCAACAGTTGCAGGAATTTTAAATAAAATTCGAAAATTTTAAAAATTAAAAACACTGCTGCACTTATTCATATTATTAAATGCACAAAAGCATAAAAAAAAAAATGTATCGGTCGCTATAATTTTATTAAGAAATATGTAGAGAACGATTTATATTTATTTTTTTAAGCAAGTCAATTCGCCTAACATTGTTATTTGAAATGATGCTGTAATATGTAATAAACTTTTTGAACTTAACAATGACATTTTCTGCAATATTTTATTATTATTACCAACAAAAAAAGCACCTTTTTTTTTATAATTACAATATATGCTTATAATCCCAAAATATTATTATAATTCATGTACTATATACAGCACTTTCGTTCTTTACGGATCAAGTTTTTAAACTTCTCCTTTTAACCGATCCCGTAACAAAAAAGAGAGACGAACATATATATATATTATATAAAATAATTAAATGAAATTACTGGTTTCTCTTAAAATTTGAAAAAAATGTAAATAAAATATACTTATTTATTACAGAATATTTTTTACCTAACAATTTGTTAAGTAACTCATAACGATAATAAAAATTATAATAATTTGAAAAAGACCCCGCACAAATAATATCAATATTCAAATAAAAATTTTTATTTTATGTAAATAAAAATTAATGTAAAAGTTTTGTTGGTCATTGTCTTAAACTATTAATTAGCATTCTTTATTCATAAGTAATCCATATAATATGAAAAATAATTTTTCCATAACTCTTAGCTGTGAATATTTTCATCATAACATTGTATCGAGTAAGAATCACATTTAATCTTTCAGAGTACTGTTAGAAAATTATCGCTGTGGCATAATGATAAATATCCATTCAGCAATTATTTCAATTTACTACCTTACATAAAAAATTTTTCTGCATTTCTAAGAAAAATGGAATTTTCAAGACAATATTTCTCTCTTCAAGAATTTTACTTTAGCACTTTGTTATCAGTTGTCATGGAAAAAGTTTTAAATTTAACGTTAACTGTTACTTTGAAGTAAACATTGCCCATAATAAGTGCTCATTTACATTTTGTTCCGTATTCTAAGAGTTAAAAGTAATTAATTATTTGAATAAACAAAAATTCGTTTCAAAAAGACAAAGCAATTCTAATTGCTAATGATTATCTTCTGGAGTAGCATACACGGCCTAAATTCGCCTAGTTTTACATGTTCACTTATGCGAAAGGGTGGAAAGAAGCAGGATTATCTATACAAACTCATGTAATTCATGCTCTTCCATACTTTTTTTCAACAATATATATATATACACCAGGAATCACAGACTTTCGCATTCGCCAACAGTATATTCCTCAAGAAAAATAAGAAATAAAAGTATAATATTAATTTTATCCACATTTATATATAATACCCAATTAAATTTCTCTATTCAAATAATAATAATAATAAATTTACGTTATTTTCATCTAAAACAAAAAGAAATGATAATTAAATCTTTTATGATATACTTAATAATCGTAAATATCCGACGATCATATAATTCTTTATATCTCTGAGTATAATAAACTAAACAATGCCTTTCCCAATTTGTGTTAAACTTATTTAAAGAATACTGCCGCTTGTGATATACCGTTAATGCAACAATACCAAATCAAATGTTTCCACGAGATTCAACCTCTCAGAAGATATTTCATACATTGAAACGTGGATATACATAGACATATCATAGTATTGCAAGTTCCTTCATTTTTTATAAATTGCAAATTCTCAGCTATACATATCTTAAAACTATCTTACTAAGTAACTGCTTGGCATTATAACTTTAGTAATAGTAACTTTATAAACAAAAAGTTATACCTTAATTGTATAGATTCATTGATAGTCTATGAGCACAATGCGTAATTGGATAAATTCGTAGTATAACTGATTTTTGTAATGTAAAATTTATATAAGAAAAAATTATAAACTGACCAGTAAAAAATCTGACTTCAAGCAGATTACATACTAAGATAGCCACGTGACTGGCTTCGCTTACGTCCTATAAGATAGGCAATCAATACAATGATTACCAAAACTGCTAATGCACAACCCACAGCTATTGGGACAATGTCTGGTGTATCCAGTTTGCAGTCTTTAACTAAACAGCAATAATAAATGAAAAATATTATTATTATTATATATTATATATAAAATAACAATTGCTTACATTTATTTTTAACGAAAACGAATTTAATATAAATTTTGAGAAATAGTATTTACCTTCACCAAAATTAACATTTTGGTCGGTTTTAAAAGCTTGGAATTGCAAATCAGACATCAATAAATATCCTTTTGTTTTATTAGAGTCAAAAGTGAAATTTTGTTCTTTTAAACATCTGTAAGAGTTACTTAATCCAGTAGAAAATAACGTTGCATTGTGTACGAACATAGAAGTTTGATCTGTAACAAAAATTGAAATATAAAAGATAATTAAAAAAGTGTAATGAATTAATAATAGACAAAATAAAAATCTTAAAACATAATTTATAATAATAAAGGAAAAGAAAAAGAGAAAGAAGTACTTCTCTAATAAAAATAAAACATTTCTTACTTCCTTCAGTAACATTAAGTTCTAAATGATGAAAATGATATTGTTTTGTAGTTTCATTCTTGGAAAAGTGAAGGGTAAAAGTATTTGTTACGTTTACAGTGCCATTCCACTGCAAAATTATAGATTGTTCTAATTTTCCACACGAACCAGACACTTTAGTCTCATTTGTACTATCGGGTAGATTAAATACTTTGTATTTCGTCTAAAATGTAACAATATTTTATAATAAAAGAAATTATATAAATGACAAACAATTGAAAATATTATTTCTTGAAATTTTTGAAATTATACAAACCTGGTTATTTTCATCAGAATAATTAGAAACGTTAAATTGTACAGCCATACTAACAATAATACAAGTTATATTACTTTCATTAAGCAACCACTTTCCAGGTTTTGGAGTTGGCAAAGGTACGGGTGGTGCCGCAGTAGTGCTTGTATTATTGGATGTTGTTGCTATTGTTGTTATTGTTGTTATGGTTGTTTTGATTGTTGTGGGTGTTTCAGGTTTTGGGGTGGTAGATATTACTACAGCATTTTTAGTATTATTATCTGTATTTGAATCTTCAATTATTTTCTTAGAATCATTTTCAATATTTTTTGCTGTACTTTGATCGACGAGTGTATTTGCAGATGTAGTTTCATTGATCGGAGTATTCGGCAAAGCAGAATCTTCCTTTTTAATAGCTGCTGCATTTGATGCAACAGTATCTTTTATTTGTGGATCTGTTGCATTTGCATTAGATGTTAAAGATGACTGTTTAGAATCTACTTGTAATGGTTGAGTAACTATATTGTTAGAATTGGGATTTAAATTGGCATTTGTAGGTGGTAGTAATTCCTTTCCAATCTTTGCAGATTCATTAAAAACCTTTGTCTCGATTTTATCATGAGTTTGTCCGCTTATACCATAGCCTATAAAATATTAAAATTTAAATATATTTTCACACACACACATATTACATGATTAATCTTTAATTATTATATAAAATTATACGCATATGTGAATAATATGTGTTAGCAAATTATCATCAAACAGGGTAAAATATATATATATATATCTTATCAGAATTTCTTTTTTGCCAATTTTTATCTTTGTTTTGTATTTTTTATTACTTTTCCACTTACACGTGAGTGTTCAATGCATTTGTTAACACATTAAATAGCATACATTGGCTATTTTGAGAAAAAATCTGTTATCTCGCGTGTAGTTTAATAAAGTTCATGATATTTTTACATATATTTTTTTTACAACAAAATCCGTTTATCATATCAAACATGGATTTTGATCGATTTGCGACGCAAAAATATTTTATAAATCTAATATAAAAGAGATTATTAAGTGTTTCATATTGAATAGAATACATAATATTATAATTCCAAAATTCATTGTGTAAACGATTAATAAATTAACACCACGAGAGTATGGGGAGATGATTTTATAATTTATTTTATAATATACAATTATTTCATT